ACAAGCATTTCTGCATTCCTCTAGTCTTTGTAGAATGAGCCTGCATGCCTCACCAATATAGACTGACCACAGGGGCACAATCTTGTAGAAGCCGGATCTCGATGATGAGTCATATTTATCTCTGAAAGATGGTTTTAGTAAAGAATGTGGGCTAGTTCGTCTGAACACTGGTTTTATCCACCACTTTCTCACTCATTCGCATATCTTTTTAGAAATAAGGCATTATGGCACAATTAGGGCGTGAGAAAAGGTCATCTCTTGCCTATATTTGACTAAATAGTTTCCGTCTGAAAATTTATTCCTCATTACTGAGATATTATTAACAATTAGGCCCAATTGATAATTATTTTCCAGGTATTTATTTTTTAGCCGTTCCACCTCCTTGGTCAAATTATAGGTATCTGCTCCTAATAATCATTGACTTCAAAATTCCTACCTTAGTTTTGTAACTATAGTTGGAAAGAAAATTTACCATAACCAACATACATTGGCTTCCTATAAACATATCTTCCTAACTTACCCTATTCTCTAATGATCAGAATATCCCAAAAGGGTAACAGCCTTCTATTTCCATTTTGACCATAATGTTCAACCTATTTCGTTTAAGGTGATGAAGTACTGGTATTAGAATTTTGCCACGGCTCGACTCCCGCTCGAGTTGTTGATAAAACCTATGTGAGGTCGAAACTACAGTCCACCCCTGATGAGGACAACTTTTAGGAAAGCAAGGATATCTGAAATTTAATTGAAACGTCAGCTCTACTCATATCATTGTTGGAAAGTTCTTCTTCTACCAGTCCTTCATCACCTTAAACGAAATTTGGTGAATACATCTCATATTACTGATTTACTGGTCCTTAAAACAATACTTAAATGCGAAAAATAAAATAACGTATTCGATTGTTATAGCAAAAATACATTTGCTTCATCACAAAATTCTTCTTCTACGATTCCTTCATCACCTTAAACGAAATTGGGTGAATACATCTCATACTACTGATTTACTGGTAGTCACGAAAACAATACTATAATTTGAAAAATAAAGTAGTGTAGTCGATTGTGATAGCAGCTATATGTTTGCTTCATTGACAATTTCACTAAAAGAATATGATATGGCAAAAAGGTCTGGCCTTCCTTAAAAATTCACATTTGCCCTGTGACCAAAAAGGGGCTCGTGGCAGTGTAGCCGAGTGGTTAGCGTGTTAAGCTCCCATTCTGCACTGTTGCGGTTCGACTCCCGCGGAGGGTGTTGATAAGACCGATTCGAGATCGAAACTTCAGTCCATCCTGGATGAGAACAACTTTTGGGAAAGCAGGGCTACGTCAGCTAAATTCATATCATTGTGGGAAATTTCTTTTACCAGTCCTTCATCACCTTAAACAAAATTGGGTAAATACATCTCAAATAACTTTTTTTTATTAGCAATCTCACCAAAGAATATGATATGGGAAAATGCCTGGCTTCACTTAAATTCATATCTGCCCTGTGGCCAAAAGGCCCTCGTGACAATGTGGCGTATTGGCTAACGTGTCGAGATTATACGCTGCATTTTCATGCTTTGAGTATCTCTGGGGATGGGATAGCACTTAGGGGAGGTTAAAACTGCAGTCCATCTGGATGAGCAACTTTTGGGAAAGCAAGGCTATGTAAAAATTCGATGGAAACGTCAGCTCTACTAATATAGTTTTAGGACAGTTCAACTACCTGTTCCTTGTCACGAAATAGGATGAATACATCTCATACAGCCTCATATTTTTTCGAGTGCTTAATAAGCAATATGTTGATACATATTTCGTTCACTAATCTTTCGACAATTTGCAATATCGGATAAGATTATCCTTTTTTCTAGACTGATGGCTTGTATACTCAATTTTGTCTCTTTATCTTCATTCATTCGCCATCTTTATTTATTTATTTTTATTACTGAATTTTGATTGGGTTTGTTTGGCTATCCGTAACAATCCAAGATTCTTCGACTCTTTATTTTAGGTGGTTGCAATGGAATTTCATTTTTTCTTTTGCTGATATATCATTCCATTACCTAAACATAAGTTCACTGTGATGTAGAACTCAACCTAAGATGTCTCTATTATTGTTTCTTAAGCTGTGTTAACAATATTGTAAGCTTTATTTGAAATTTGTCATAGCTTTGCCATTTTTTCCATTTGCAAAGAGATTTGTGTATCGGACCAGATATTCATCTTCTTTTTTTTTAAACTCATGTGATTTGGTCTGAGTAAAAATTATAATATTTAGCGAATACATTCTTACAGGTTCAGATTAGCTCGGACTAAATCGCGCATAAACGATCTTGATCTTTCACATCACTCATTATTATGATTAACTATATTTATTATGTCGGATATATGAAATACTCAAACACGTTTAAAATATACTAATCATTTTTATATCTTCATCTGATTATTTCAGTTTTTCTGCGGATGATATTCAGAACCTCACTTATCAGCTCTGTCATACTTATGTTCGCTGCACAAGATCTGTATCTATTCCTGCCCCTGCTTATTATGCTCACCTTGTTGCTTTTCGTGCAAGATATCATTTGGTGGAGAAGGAAATCGACAGGTCAGTTTCTTGGTTGACATTCCAAATAGTTTTGATTTATAAACTTAAGGGATTTTAAGATTAATTGGTCATTAAATTTTATTGTTTTAAATTTGGCAAGCTTGTATACAATACAGTAAGTCATAATAGTGGTTGCCTTGTACTTAATGTAATGCATTGTCTCGGCTTTATGCCTACAGTTTGATTATTAACACTCAGACATTTGCTTATCTGGCATTTTTGCTTTTCTATCCGAACTATCAATTACAATTAATGGAAAGTTATCCGAAAAAAGGCAGTCCAAATTGTCTATATTTTCTATTCTAGCAAGAAGCATCTGAAGAGGCGTCTTTTTTAAGCTCGAGTGTGAGTTAGTACACCAATAATTAACAAAAAATGAAAATATTATTGCTTTGCATCTCATCAGTACCTTAAGTGAGATTCGATGCTGGATCGTGAGTATCGTGGCCATGTTATAAATCCACTACATAGCCACGATTGCTAGTGGGTCACAGAGGAAATGTTGCTGTAAAATTAAACTCATATACACCATATATTATCTGATATCTTCCATCGATGTTGGTTCATAGTTGTAATCTATTTTTAATAAGGCTTTACTTGCTATCATGGTGCTTAGTAAAGTTGTCGCATATATTAACTTTTTATTTCTAAAGCCTCTCTTGATATAGCTTTTCTTACTTCCCTACATACAAAGCGACTTTTGTACCTTCAACTATTATAAAAAGCCAAATCCTTCAAAATTCTTTAAAAAAATCCAAACTAGGTTGCTTGTGATCCATAACAAACAGCACATGACACCAAATAATCGTTGTTGTTGTCTACTCTATTTGCTTGCATACACAAAAATAGTTCGGTTTCGAAAAATCTTTTATTTAACACTTGTTGATGGATTTCTCTTGGCCAGCTGATAGGACTTTCAGATAAATATCCGACTCAGCGGCTTTAATTTAACTTTATTGAAAAAATGAGTCAATTGATCAATCCTGGAGGATTATCTAGGTATCATTGGTACGTCGGCCGAAGTATGAGCAAAGGACTAACATAGAGATAAAGTTTCTAGCAAGGCTTTTATTAAAATACGATTACTTAAGCTGAATGTGGGAACTAACTTTAATCACTAGATCCAGTTAACAATGATATAGTTGTAGAATTTGATTGATTAAATCAATGTCTGATTTGTTATTAGGGTAAGACTCTCGCGAAAGAAACAAGCTTACAAATGTGCTTCTCTGTATGATAGAAAGTTAAAAAATATGATTTGTTGCAAAGACATTGAGTAGTATCATGTTTTCTCAAAAGTTATTAAACTCCACAATTTGACTTTTTATTGGTTTTGATTTTCACTTATGGCATCAACGGCGTCAGTAGGCGAGCACGCCTTTTTGCCTCATTCTTATTTAATACATCTTTTTTTAATTTTTATTCATACTCTGTCATTTCCTTCAGCGGTGAGGGCAGTCAAAAATCTGGGAACTCAGATGAGCGTACCCCTACGGCTATGATGCGTGCTGTAACTGTCCACCCAGAAACCTTGCGGGTCATGTACTTCGCCTAAACTTTAAACGTCTATCGACTCTTTTGTCTTTCCTTCGTTTCCTATCAATCTCATATTCTTCTCTGTCTTGACTATACACTTTTTGAGTAGAATTTAGTATATTAATCACGTCGGCACGCTAATTCGCCTGTGAATAATTTCTATCTGCCTGCAGTATAAGCTTATAAATATGCTTTTATTTGTACGTTGTCACCTCTTTTGAGGTGTAGTGATAGCTTTACCTCTGCTTCTGATTCCCTCTGATTTATAACGCTTTGGAAACGAATATTTACTCATCGAAGGGTTCACTTTAGTAGAAATTATCTCCAAGGCTTAATTCTATTATGTAAGCGGCAATACCTTCCGTTGCAAAAAAGCTTCGTTGATAAAAACTATAGCCCTTCATTATCTACCTCTTTTAAATCCTCAAACTACCCTTTGTATTTTCCATAGTTTCGAACTTCCATTCGTGATGGCCAATCTTTATCGCCATTGATATGTCTACCAGCCTGCATTCCCCATTCCTCACTTACAATAGGCCTAACTTTAAGCTTGACGACCAACCGATTGACAACCAGCATTCTGGCTTGTAGTTCTGTTATTCCGAAGTCGCCGTCTCGCATCTTCTTATCCTATTGCCAATCTCAAGGAGGCTATAGTAAATTTAGCTTGTCTTGTGCGCCTTTACTTCCCATTTTCCGACTGATCATGCATCCCAGGCCTATGAATAGCCTTGTGATAATGTATGCTGCTGCTTACCCAGTGTCCTTAAATATCCATTACATAGACAGACCTGCATTCATATCTATAAACAGTAATTATCACATTCATCTCATTCTTAGGATGACATTTATTCACGCGTAACCCTACGAATTCATCTTCCGTCCATACACAGTCTGATTTCTAAGATGCTAAATAAAATTTGGTTCACCACTCTAAGCTAACAGAAAATAATGGCCTCTACTCGGAGGCATTAGCCTCAATCGTTATTTTTGCGATCGCCCTTTGGTCGACCTTAACTCAGCTGCTCTGTGTACTCATCATTTTTTAGAACGACATTTTTTATGTTTCTATATAATTTGAACTAGTGCGAACCCACAACTTCATGCATTTGTGCGCATGCCTATATTGGTAAGACTTCAGCTTTGAATTGCATGTCTGCTGCACTTACTATCAACGTTTGTCTGCTTGCAGCTCTATCCTCCAAGCCACTTTTGACAGGAAATTTACATAGTTATTTACATCCATACCTCCATTTCTTTACTCCATACCAACTACTTCCATCTAGGATTAATAAAGTACCTATTGTCTCGCCTTGGATATAGTCTTAAAGCCTTTTTTTCAATTTCGGTCCTCAGCTTTTCCATGCTAATGTAAAGTCATACCTATGGAATTATTTGGTTTTTGTTTCCGCCTCTCTTTCACATTTCAATGCAATTTTTTCTGCTTCAATGAGTCAAACCGCACAAATCTCTATTTGAGGGCATGGTGCAATATCTCCAATAAAATGGGTTCTGTTGGCAATGATTCTGCAAAATCAAATATTTCAGGTAAATAAATCGCCCTCTTGACCGGCGTCCGATAGAAGATAGTGTTTTTTTAATCAAGTTAAAATATCACTTTTTAAATCTAATTTTGGCTTATGGCCAAAAGAGTGTGTTCAACTCTACAATCATTTGTATTTTCATTTTTTTGCATTCCTTGTAAAACAGTGATATCTATCTAGAAAATGCATTTATGAACCCTATCTTGTTTTTTCGATTTCTTCACTTTTTACTGTTACAAGCTCTTATTTTAGGGCTTGTTAGCCGCAATTGATCTCATTAATTTTCGTCATGATACATCTCAAGTACTCAACCTCGACTTGAGTCAGAAGTATCCTTATTTTTCTCCTTTATTCATGCATTCGCGTGGTTTAGGATGCCAGGATATTCATTGCATTTTGGGCATCAATTTTCTCTCTTGAATGTGTAGCTATAAATGCTAAAGTCTTAATATAAGAGAATTCGGAGAAAATTCTTCTTATTAGCTTGGTGTCTTGATGAATTCGCATACACAACCGTTATCACAACAGGCGAAGGAATAAGCTTCCGAATTAAGCTTTTGTCGTCTAAGCCTTACGATGGATTAAGTGATATCAATTTTTTCTCTGTATAAGTGTCATGATTTCTATATGTAGTAGGATATCTATTGGTTAATAAGTTGTTAATATATTTTTATTTAATTATTTTTAGGTCTTAACTGCCTCTGGGATACCAGTTCTTTTTTTACTCATTTTAATAGTATTCGTTCGTTAGAATGAGGAGGGGTATTTGGGTGATTAACACTTGCCCTTTGATTACTAATTCAAATGGGACTTTTCACAAAAACTTCGGTATTTAGTGTTTCACTTATAAAATCTATCTACTGTTCCCCCTTGATGATAGGTGACAGTGGCATGCTTATCCTCTCCACTGAAACTTCACAAATCTGAAGGATTTCCTCAGCTTGATAATATAAGCAAATTGAGGTCTCGTAGTAATAAACTTGGGTACCTTGCAGCATCTTCTGGGTCCTCTTACTTTGCTACATAGCACATTAAAATGTGATAAGGCTAAGAGGACACGAAAGACTCCGCTTTCCCGATAAAGGATTTGCTAGCATTAGTAAAAGCCATTCGACTGGATATTTTTTAAAAAGCATTTTGTATTTAGCGTATCTATTTTAGTTTCTTGCCTACCTTCTTTTTTAATCCGGTTGCCTGCATGCTTGGCTAGAATTCATGGTATGAAATGTCCATTTCATTTGATATTCTTGCAACCCCAAACATCATATACAAATAAAATAACTTATTAACAGGGTAGCTAGTTGCCTATGAATTCTAGACTACATTGTTCCACTGAATCGACAACGTGTTTTGGTTGTATGCGTGTACGATCCTTTAGCACGAATTTTAGCTACCCTTTCTCTTCTAATATTATTTAAGAGCTTACTATAGAATTTTCCAGAATAAGTGAGTAGACATCAAATTTAGAAGCATACTCTCATTGAAACTGAAAGACGTCCTCGATCGAAATCGTAAATGAGTGTCTGCCTCAAAACGGGTTCACCATCAATGCGATATTTAGGAGACTTTGCTTGCCTAGAAAAGCGCATCTGCCTAATGGCACCAGTATCTGTGTGGCTTAATGGTAGTCTGTCGCCATTTTGCGAGCCGGATTCGTTTTCGAGTCAGTGAGGGTGTTGATGACACTGATGAAAGGTCGAAATTGATCCAGCCCATAATAAAAAAAGCATTTATGCTAAGTGAAGTTTAATGAAGTCGTGAGGTCTCATTTCTTGGTGGGAGACTTTACTTTCAGTACTTATATATATACATTGATTAAGGCTCGAGGAACGTACAATTTACTACATTACTTTTAGATTTGAAGAAGCTAAAATGTTTCTCTTAGACATTAAAAAGAGTGGGTATAGTTTTGTCCTTCGCAGCGTCGGAGATAATTCTACCTCTGTGCTCTTTAAATTAAGTTTCATAAGTCCCTAGTTTTGCAAACTGCGTTGTTTTGTTTCCACACAATTTTGCGATCCTTATCTTGCATAAGAGATATGAATACTTTGGGTTTGATGCCAGGGGGTATATTTCCTACTACTTTATAGACTAAAGGAAATGGACAAAAACGAATATTATGATTGTATACGGGTACGATACTTTAGCACGAATTTTAGCCACCCTTTGTCTTCTACAATTTTTTAAAAACTTACTATAGAATTTTCTAGAATCCTAACGAAGCTAAACAAAGTACGAGTAGAACTGACGTTTCCATTGATTTACGCATAGCCCTGCGTTCGCAAAAGTTCTTATCTAAGGTGGATGACCTCGCCTAGGTCTTATCAACACCCCCAGCTGGAGTAGAACAGTGGCAGTGCAGCGTGTGTGCTTGGTTCGTTAGCCAGTATGCCACATTGTTACGATTCCCTTGCGTCACAGGGCGGATGCGAACTTTAAAGAAGTTCAGGGCTTATCCCATGCCACACTATTTGGTGGGAGTGTGGATAAGGCAAATGTATTTTTTGATATAACAATCGACTACATGGAAGTTGTTTGACCTTGTTTTCGCAACTTGGTCATATTGGTAGGAAGACTTAGAGGAACGCATCTATTCCGGAGTCCATTGTATGCATAATCATTTCCATAGTAGGACCGTGGATGGGGTACATTCCCAGACGTTTTGCCGGCATCTTCAGTGAGTCTCGCCATTCGTAGCACCATATTACAACTCGTAAAATAGACAAATGAAGCCCATTCTTTGACCAAACGTCTGCTACACATTCGTGGTATCTATCCTGTTCTGGGCTATTCACATTTCCTATATCAACCTATCATGCCTTCCGTCAGAATTTTTACCGTGCTTTAATGTAGTGTTGTGTGCCCCTTCGAGCGACATTCATGAAAACCCTTCACACTCCACACTGTCGTTATCA